CATTCATTCAGAGGCTAGTTTGTTCCAGGAATGGGTGTGGAACAGTCTCAAGGAATTTCTGCTCGGCTGGAGAAGGAGACAACCAAACAGTCTTACTCCCCAAGAACAAAATGCCAAGAACCCCAACAGGAAACAGGGAGTTCTGGGTGAGGCTGGTCACAGGGAGGGGATGTGTAGGTTTTGGGACTAAACAGTGAGTGATGAGGGGTCCCCAGGCAGTGGGCGATGAGCAAGCAAACGAGGAAGGTCAGAGAAGCTGTGGGGTGCACATAGAAATGGAGGAGGGGGAAGGGTGATGATTTGGCGGGGGGGGGGCAGATGGGCTTGGAGAGGCGTTTGGAGGACACCACAAGGACTCTTGCTGGGCCTCTGTGCTCCAGAACTCTGGTCCCACCTCTGAGAGACGTAAACAAATCTCCTGGGCAGAAAGAATGGCATTGTGTTGATTCCTTCATTTGTTTGTTTGTTTTAACATACTTTATTTTGCCGTGTATAATGCGCACCCACATTTTTGGCCCAAACTTCCGGGGAAAAAAATCTTTCGTTTTAATTTTTTTGATTCACTTCTATATTTGTTGCTATTTAGATACTTGTGTGTTTTTTGTATTATAAAGGAATTTTAGCATTTATTTTTGAACATATTATGGTACCAGAAATTTTATGTAACAAATAATTACAAAACACAAGAACAGATACAAGATGCAAGAAATTTTATGTACCGGTAACAAATTTACAATATGTATGCATCATAGAAGGCCAAGAACTCTTCATCACTGTCAATATCAGAAGGATTGTCTTCTTCAATTGCTACATTACTGGTGTCTTCTAAAGAGACACTTTCCTCATCCCGGTAAATTTTATCATCCTCACTTCCATCCATAGCCTTGCCGATGGCGCAGTTTTTAGACAATTTCACAACTACTTCCTTCTTGACGCCATTCCACGATCTTAGGGAACCAATCACAAACCTGGGCGATGGATGGTTTCTCGATCCTGCCTGTAAGTGTGAAATCCTTACCAGCTGACTGTATCCACGAGGTCCACTCTTTCTTCATAGGGACCTTAAATTAGGGCTTGTTTACTGACACACGAAGAGGTTGCAGTTGGCCGGTTAGCCCACCAGGTTTCAGAGCGAGCTGGGTTTTCAAGTCCGCTGCGATTTCTTTTGCACTTTGTCTAACATAGGTTTCGAAGTGATTGAAAGCAAACAAAGCTGGTTTTTTAAGTAATCCTCCAGGCTTTCGTGGCCAGACTTTGTTAAACCAGATCTTCATGCCTCCTTCATTCATCTATCCTTTCTCATGCATGTGGACAATAACTCCACCTGGAATCTTTTCTTTCTGAAACATTTTTCTTTTAAAGATCATCACAGGTGGGAGCTCCATCCCATCTGCACACCAGGCTAGGACAACAGTGAGATGGGTTTTCTCGTGACCACCAGTTTCAGCAGCCATGGTCTGGACTCCTTTGACGCCCACGGTTCCGTTGGATGGCACATCAAATGTGAGTGGGACCTCATCCATACTGGCAATTTGGGACAGCTCAGAGTTGTAAGTCTCTCAAAGATTGATAACATAAGAGTGAAATTCCAAAACTTGATTCTCACAGGCTGCTGGAGGTTTTCGGGCAAATTTCATCTGTGTCCTCACGCTTAAACCATGTCTCTTCATGAAGTTAAAGCACCATTTAGGTGTCCCTGAGAAATCATCTGCGTTTTCTCTTCATGCAATCCTTTTACCTTCCTGTATCATCTTGGTTGAAACGGAGATCCCGCTTGACGCTGCTCCAGAATACAGGTCTTCACTGCCTGCTCCACCTCCGGCCACTTGGGAGGCTTCCCTCACGTTGCTTTCTTCTGCCTTGGCGTCTGAAGACACTTTTCTTCCTGCTGCTTCCACAACCTGCTGACCCTCTCTGTGGGAGGAGGAGGTCCAGAGTGTGTCTCGGGAGCTCCGTTGCCATGCTTTTCAGCATAGTTCCGAACTTTTAGCTTAAAGCTCACAGTGTATGAAAACCGTCTCTGTTAGAATGTACGGGAACATGGAGGACCTAAGCCGCTGCCTACACCGGAACAAAGAAGGTATGCATCACCTGCTGAACCCCTGACCACGAGATTCCCTATTACCAGAAGCAACCGAGGCGCAGCCGCGTGTACCCTGCTGGAAATGGGTCGAATCCCCACTGCCCCTTCTCTCTCCCTCGAGCTTTCCCCAGAGGCAATGCCATAAATCTCCTGGACTTTCTGTCGCTGTTCCTATGGAAAATAATGCAATAATTAACGAATAATAGTACAAGAATAAGCTATTTCATGTACTCACAACTGTAAGCCTACTTTTGCCCCACCCGGTATATACAACTATCACCACTGTCAATTTTAGAACATTTTTATCACCTGAAAAAGAAACTCCACATCCTTTAGCTATCATCCTCCTATCTCGGCCCCCCGAGACCCCAACATCTACCTCAGCCCTAAGGAACCACAAATCGACTTTCTGTCTGTATAGATTTGCCTGTTCTGGACATTTAAAATAAATGTAATCATGCAATTAGCTTCTCACTTGGCATAACGTTTTCAAGGCCTACCCGTGTTCTAGCATTTTTCAGTACTTCACTCCTTTTCGTGGCCAAGTAATATTCCACGTGTGGGTAGACCACTGTTTGCTTACCCACTCATTCATCGACGGGCCGTTGGCTATTGTGATTGGTGCTGCTCTGAATATGCCTGTAAATTTCCACGCAAAGCATTCCTGTTGATTCCCACGTTACAGATGAGGACATATGTTTTCCTTTTTCTTTTTTCCGGAAAAGAATCAATAAATATTTATCCGATACAGTCATTTTTAATCTATACAATTGATGGCCTGCCCTTGTGGGCTGGGGATCACAAGGTGGGCAAGGCCCTAGCTCACCGTCAAACATCTTGCAAATCAACACTTGGTAGGTAGGCTATATATGTGTATACATGGTTACTAGTGATAGCTGGAAACTCTCCTTCAAAATGCACTTCTATGCGGAGGACTGGCGTGAAAAAAAAACCAGGCAAACCCAGAAACCCGGAGTGCAGCACATGAGGCTGCCAGGCCAAAGGCTCAGGCCGGCCTCCTTGGACCTCAGGGCCCCAGGGCGAGCCTCCTGGAGCCTCAAAACAAAGACAGGCGGGGACAGCCCTGCCCTCTGTGGGCCGGGGAGCACCCCGTTCTTTCCCGTCTGAACTGGAGCAACGGGAGGTGGGTGCAGCCGGGAGGCCTGCCTGTCACCCAGGGGACTCCCTCATCTGCCTTTGCACAAGCTAATGAAGTGCATCCAAAATTTTGTGTAAGGTGCCAGCCACTTAAGTCCGCAGCCCTCTGTCCTCAGGGGAACAGGGGTGGACAGGGCCCGAGGCAGACCTTCAGAAAGGGACCCGGCACTGTGTCTTGGGTCTGGGTCTTGCGCAGCGTCCACTCCCAGCACGCCCCGGAAGTCCGCCACTCTGGTCCTCTCACTGAAGGGTGTCGGTTGAGGCCAGGCGGTTACCAGGCCGAGCTTTCGCCGGAGCGGGAGGCGGGCAGATCCTACTGTGCCGCCCCGGGCTCACCGGCTTTGGAGGCGGGCTCTGCAGGCCCACTTGCTGCTGCCACTCACCAGCCAGGAGCAGGGAGGGAAGCGGGGCAGGCAGGGGTCCGACCCAATCGCCACTCTGACCACAGCCCCCACACCCACTTTAAGGACAAAAGAGGGGTTTAAAGTGCTACACATCAAGTTATCCAGGACCCCACCTTTTCCCACACAGCTAGATGGAGTTCCCACCCCATGGGCCATCTGTGGACCAGCCCCCACTCTCCAAGGGCCAACTACCTGATAGGCCAGAGTAGGCGGCTGTCCCCAGCAGAGACGTTGAGGTCCAACCTCCTCCAGCCATGGGTGACAAGGACAGAGAAAGTCTACCTGGGGCTCCTGTCAGCGCCTGCTCCCCACTCCCCTCCTGAGGCTGCCCCGCAGTGGCTTCCTGACCCACCTCCACCAGCTGTACACCATAGTGACAAAGAAAAGAAGGAAAGTGACAAAGAGCAAAAGAAAGAACGCTCTCCTGCCCCAAAGCCTGGCCCACGCTGGCCCACCTTGCCTTTGACACTGGATCACACCCACGTGCTCCTGTGTGAGTGGGGAGGAGCCCGCCTCCCTACCCCTCACTCGTAGTGACCCAAGGCTGCCCGGGGTCAGAGCCTCTAGACAAAGGAGCCAGTGAAAGGCGCCAAAGCCCCTGGGAACCTGTCCCCCTGCTGCAGGACATGAGGGGAGCGGAACCCACTTGGGGCCCCCTCCCCAGGGGCTGGGTGAGGGCGGCAGCTGGGGGGCAGAGGTGTGCCGGGCATGCCTCCCTGAGCAGGGGAGGGCCCCCAGGGCCCCCGGCCCAGCCCCCAGATCCACCATTGGCACCAGGAAACCCTTAGCACCAAAATGTCAGACTGTGTTAAGTGTTTGTACAAAAAACAAAATAAGGGAAGGTTGTGACTTATCACAGCAGCAAGTCCAGCACCCGCTACACGCCCAGAAGACACAGGCACGTGAGCGAATATCAACGTTCACATCATCCGAATGAGGGCAAGACAGCGCCCTCAGCACCCCCCCGCCACCCTGTTCCCAGCGGGAAAACAGCCTCCATCCAGACCTGTGGTTCTGAGCGTCCTGTTCCCTCAGGTAATGCCGCAGCTGTAAGGCGCGGCCCAGGGAGGAGGCCGGAGCTGTTGGCCGACTCCTCCAGGTCCCTGGACTCCAGCCTGAACCCTGCCCAACCAGCAGGCCTGGCTGCCCTCAGGGCCCCAAAGGGAGCGTAGACAGCCCTGAGCTCCCATCAACCCACTGTGACCTTGGCCAAGTCCCCCCCCGCCCCGCCACCCCCACCTCCCACCCCGTCTTCAACTCTCATCAAAACACCGCAGGACCAGAAACAGAGGGACAGGTGAAAAGGGGGTAGGGTGCTCCCTGGGAGCCTGGCTCTCGCCAACCCCGACCAGCAGATGAAGGCTGCTTCCGGCAGTGGTAACTCCCCGGGGCCAGGCCCAGTCCCCAGCCCCACGTGCCCACGGCCCCAGGGCAGCCCCAGGGCCCAGGTTGGCCCACTCCTAACCTGTCCGGCTGCCCCAACCAGGCCAGCAGAGTTGGAGCCGGCAAAGCTGGAGCAGTGGCTCCCCGCCCCCGGCCCCTCCCACCGCCCCGGGCGGGCGGGCAGCCTTCCCCAGGGCCTTGGGCGCCCCCTCCTCCTGCAGTCTGCCAGCGGGAGAAACAGAGCACCTCCCTTGCCCCAGGCAGAAAGACCGCTGGGGTTGGCGGAGAGCCTGTCAGCAGCAACGGCGAAGGAACATCTTCCCCCCAACCAGGACCGACACGGGCAGGCCAAAGACCCTCCTCCTGCCTTGCCAGACCCTGCCAGGTTGGGACTGTCCCTCCAGGCTATAGCACTTTTGAGGCTGTCAGTGGCCCTCCCCAAGGAACCTAGCCCAGGGGTGCGCTGCAGCAGCCTGCCCACGGGAAGAGGGGCTGGCTGCCCGCAATGGAGACATGAGTAGGAGGGGTGGGGAGTAGGGGACCAGGGGCAGGGTGTCGGAGCCAGCTACCCGACTCGACAGAGGGAGGCTTGGCGGCAGCATGGGGACAGGGCCCCACCCACCTGCCAGCTGCCATGCTGGTTTCTTGGGTGCCCTGCCAGTCTTGCCTTCTGGCCGGGGGGGGGGCTCTGGGCCCCTTTGTCTCTGCTTTCTGGGTGCTGGTCATCCTGGTGGTGGAGGACATTTTGGGTGCAGGCTCCCTGGGGGCCACCCCTTGGGCTTGTGGCGCTGCTTCTTCCTGCCTGCCGGTCTCTTCTTCTCAGGCGCCAATGAGTCCTGGTTCCTGAGTCTGGCAGGCGGGTTGCCCACATTCAGAGCCAGTTCTCTGCGTGGGCCTTGAGAACGTGGTACTTGACGCCACTCTCAGAGCCGAGCTCCTTTGGACAGAGCAGGGCGCGCCGCCAGGCGTCCTCTTTGCTGCAGCTGGTGAGATGGGCCTTGAAGCCGGACATGCGGGGGCAAATGGCTTCGCGGCCACCGACTCGCCCTTCTCCTTGGCTTCATTCTTCCTTCCGCGCTCAGCAGCTGGGCGTTGAGTGTGGGGAGGCCTGGCCGAGTGCAGTTGAGCGGGGCCATCTCAGGCAACAGGTCATCTTTCATCTGCTGCTTGGTCCAGCCTCAGGCCAGTTCGTCCTCTGCAATCTCCTGCAGGTGGGCAACCTGGACCGAGGTGTGGCTCGTGTGGCTGCTGGGGGGCTTGCTTGGTACCCCACAGGTCCTCTGCCTGGGTGGGTGCGGGGGGACTTGTCCTCGGGCTCCGCTTGGGGCAGGGCCGTGTGTTCTCAGCACGTGTGGCAATCTTGGCCGGCGCTGGAGCAGTAGGTCTGGCAGCGGTGGGTGCAGGGGGAGGTGAGGCTGTCACCTCCTAGGGCGGCTTCCCACAGCAGGTAGCACCGGCAGCCCATGGGGCTGGAGAAGGTGGCCCTGCAGCCCGCCCTCTGCTTCAGCACCTTGCACAGCCACTGCTGCTCCTCCAGCTGGCTCCCCCGGAGGGCTCGTTGTCACCAGCCCGGCGCTGTGCTCAGCCGCCATTCGTAGTGAGGCAGGACTGGGACTTGAACTTCTAGCAGTGCTTCCAGCAGAACTTCCTGCAACTTCTGACACCTCCACGTGCTTCTTGAGCGCCACGAGGGTCTTTCAGGTGACGATGCCTGTTCATGGATGGCCCGCTGCTCCTGCTCCTCAGGGACACCTGGGGCTGGGTGGGCCTCAGGCGCCAGCACCCCGCTGCCGACAGCATGGGAGGGGCCAGCACCTTCTTCCAGACGCCCTTGGGGCTTGGCCCTTCTTGCTTCCTGGCACAGGAGCCCGCCTTGCTCAAGACTTGCCTTCCGCCTTGCCCAGACCTTTAAGTCTGAAGGGTCCTGAGATGGATGGCCTCTCCCCCCTAAACTTCCTGGGTGTTTTCTGTTTCCTTCTGTGCTTCACATACCCGTCTCACCCCCTCAGGTGGGGACACAGGGCCCATGGTCCTCGGGGCCTCCCTGCCCCCCAAGGGCCTGCTGCCCAGCGTAACGGGGCCAGTGCTGGGTCTGTGTTGGGTCTGTGCTGGGCTGAAGGATGGGCCGTGCTCCCCATTCTCTGGCCTCACCTGCTTGCCTGGGAGGGGCCAGTGTCAGGCGGTCCAAAGCCCTTTCCTTCTCGCTGCACCTCTCCATGGCGCAAGTTTTGTTCTCAGAGAGGGCCAGCAGCGCCATTTTGAGGGACGGTGCATGTCTGCTGATGGCAACAGGCCTGATCTCCATCACCAGCTTGGTGACTGGCACAGGTTTTGTAACTGTTACAAGTTTTGTCATCGGCACCAGTTTGTTTGCAGTCACCGGTTCGGTGACTGGCACTGGCTTGGTGACAGGCACAGACTTGGTGACCGGCATAGGCCTGCTGATTGTCACTGACTTGGTGACTAACAATGGCCTGCTGACCGACGCTACCTTGCTGATACTGATGGGTTCACTGACACCCACGGGTTTGTCAATAGCGACGGGTTGCCTCACTCTGATGAGGTTGCTGACCCCGAAGAGCTGGCTGATGGTGACCTGCCAGCTGACTGCCCCAGGCTTGGGGGTAGGCAGGGGTCAGTCCGTGTGGTTCTAAATCCAGTGCTTCTGCAGCTAAGCCTTGACGTTGAAGGCAGCCTCACAGAAGGGGCAGGGAAAGGGCAGCCTTTCTGAGACAGCACCCCCTCGGCACTGCTAGAAATAGCACTTGAGCCTGAAGATGCTGGGAAGCTCTGGCCGGCACGCTGAGTTGGGACGCTTCACCTGGGCGTACGCCTGGAATTCACCTTCCCCTGGTTCATCGTCAGGGAGAGAGGAATGTCTCGGAAGGCTTGGCTCTCAGCTTTTGAATGCCCTTTTTTTCTTCCTTTCTGTCCTGTCACTGGCTGGATGTCCTGGGTCAAAGCAGAGTGGGGCTGGCTGGGCCCTGTCTGCCTACCCCGGGCCACCAGCAACCCCAACTCGGTGGGTCGCGCCGAACAGGAAGCCTGACCCCGCTCGCTGCCTTCCTTCCCAGGCCCACCCTTGCTGGACGCCGGGAGCCAGCAGCCGCCTCCAGCGCAGGAGAGAGCAGTGAAGCCTGTGTGGCCGGCAGGAGGGAGGCAGGGCGGGGGCTGGGCCTGGGCGGGGCAGGCAGCGCCGTGCTGCCCAACCCAGGTTTTCGTTTCTCGTGGGCATCACCTAGGAGCGGAATTGCTGGGCTGTAGGGTGCCTCTGTTTGAGGAACGACCAGACTGTTTGTATTCACATATTTATGTTCAGGAGAAAGAAATGACAGAGAAGATGGCAGTAATAAAGGAAATCTGCTCGAAGATAAGATACGCTTGTGTTCAGGGGAGAAGTGAGGAAAGTGACCAGATCACCAAAAGCAGCATTGCCATCTTCCAAGGGCCAGTGCCAACTGTGAGGAGACAGGTGCGGGCAGTACCTGTGACCGCCCGCCGAGTGACGGACCTGCCCCGCCACAAGCCGAGGCCCAGGCCTGCTCTGAGTCTCCAGGGAGCACAGCAAACACGTCTTCGCCCCAGCCTGGTAAAGAGACAGCTAAAGGTAAAGAAATCAAGGGCAGACAGGATGAAGAGACCTGTTCAAGACCACATTTGTCCTGGCACGGTAGTTGTGCTCCTACTATGTACCCGGAACTGCTAAGCATGTACAGACTCTATGCATAGGGCTCACCATGGGCCAAGCGCTGTTCTAAACCCCTTCCTGACCAAGATGTTCTCAATCCTTCCAGCAACTCTCTGGGGGGATTCCTGCTACGACTACCATGTTTCGGGTGAGGGCGCTGAGTCAGGGGTGAGCTAGCTCCCCAAGGCTGACCAGTTCCTAGTGACAAGGCTGGGGTTCGGAGGCAGGCTGTCTGGCTCCAGTATCACCTCATTGCGCCGCCTCAACTATTCTCTCACAAGGACAAGGCTGACATTCTCGTTTCATAGACAAGGACACTTAGGCTGAGCCGGATACCCTTTCCCAAGGCTGGGAATTCAAGCCCAGTCTCTACCCCACGCCAAGGCCTCCCATCACAACGATGGGGACAGAGTTCACCATGCAATATGTCACAGGGGTTGGCGGTACAAGCACATACCTTCACTTAGTGCCACCTCTTCTGGGAAGTTCTCCGTGACTGTTCCTCCCGTAGGGGTTACAAGTCACCTCCCACCCCAGGCTCCGGCAGCTTTCGTAGTGCACCATGGCCCTGGTCACGATGTGTGACACTGGCTCGTAGGTAGCATCAGCCCACTGACTTTGAGCTTGACCTCATCCCCTCTGCCTCTCCAGCACCAAGCCCAGGGCCTGGCCCATGGAGGTGCCAAACAAGCAGGTGGGGAATACACAGGTGAACCATGGCAGAGAGGTCCAGGTAAAAGTGACAGAGGGGATCGGGGAGAGAAGAACTGAGCTGGGCCTTAAGTCAGGTCCTGGAGGTGGGGCACCTAAAGAGTGGAGGGGGGCGACGCCACACGGGATGGGGCTGGAGGTGTCCTCGGGGCCCTGAGGTCTAACATTCCAGAGAGGCCTGGAGGGGGGCCGGGGGCGGCTGCTCTGTGGAAGGCGCAGGCCAGAGCTACAGCGAGTATAGATGAGGGGCGAATGAGAAAGGGGGCGCCTTCCCTTCCCAGGGACCCCCACCCCTGCCCAGGACCTGCGGGTGTGTGTGATGTGTGTGAACTTGTGTTGCAGCTTGTAGTTCTCCCCAGCCAGCTCGCCTCTGAACAAGGGGTGGGAAGCAGAGGTGTGAGGGCTCTGCACCCCAGAGGCAGAAACACAGGGTGTCGTTCAGAGGAGGTCCCAGTGGCTTTCACCCCTCTCCCTGGGAACAGAGCTGACGCGGGTCCCACGGCGTGCCGAGAACAGGCTGGCCGCCCCTGCGGGTGGGTCGCAAGCTGGCCTTCTGCTCAGGCAAGGCCTCCTCTCCTCGGTTTACTCCGTCGTGTGGGGAAAGGTCGGGACAGACAGAAAGGAGGAATCTGGGAAATGTTCCCAAGGGGGTCAAGTGCCTGGTCACGAGACTGTGGCTTGGAGGGAGCAACCCAGGAGGACAGATGGAGTCCACATTAGGAAGAAGGTTTTGGAAACCAGAGAAGCCTAGTAGTGGAGGGGGCTGCTTCCTGGGGGAGCCGGCCCGCACCAAGGGGCAAGTCCCAGCAGAAGCTGCGGCTGCCCTCACAGAGCGTCCGAGGAATCTCTCCGCTGTGGTGCAGGCATGGATGGGAAAAACCCCACAGATCCCTTTGGAGGCTCTGCTGGGGAAGCAGGGGCCCCGGGACACTCCCTTCCAGAAAATGCCTGTGTCCTCAATCCCTGGAAATCACTTAATCCTGTTTTCTCCAGCTAACACACAGAAGTCCTCCAGGCTATCACGACGTGGAGAACTGAGAGCCCACCCTCCCATTTTACAGATGAGGAAACTGAGGCCCTTATAGGAAAGAGACATGTTCAAGGTCACAGTGGAAGCTAACA